ATAAATAGCATTATTATTTAACGATTTTTACTTTTTTTCATTAAATCGTGACCCAATAGCGAATTCATGCTCAGATATGTGACCACTTTTTGGAATGATTACGAAGACTATGTAATGTGTTAAGAATTGAGTAGGAACGATTACTATAGCTGTTGTAAGGGATACCTTCATATTTGTACTCCTTACAACTATAGTAATCATCACAAAAAGTGGTCACATATCCGAACAGTAATATAGACTATTGTAATCATTACGAATAAATTTTTCTCCCTGTAAATAAAAAATTATAAAAAAATTAAATATTTGTTAATTAAATTATTTAACGGTGTATATAATCATTAAATTGCACCTACGAAGTAAATAAAATCTGACGCACGCGAGAGTTGAACCTACAACCTACGGACATTATAAACATTAATTTGTTGATGTAAAAAAATATTTGTTGTTTGGACTTAGAAATTTTTGCAAGTCAATGATGTTAGCGATCCACGCATGCCCCCTGCGAGGTCCGTGTCGATTCGCCCGCGTGGATCTGCCCTCGTGGGCCTCCGCCGGCGGCCCCGCTGCCGTAAGGGCAAGATGGGAGCTTTTTCCACACGGGAATGCTTAGAAAGTTTTAAAATAAAGTATACGATTTTTAATATTAATACCTTCTTACTCACATTAAAATATTTTTAATTTCAAATCACAAAAGTAAAAATTCTTTAAAACTCAATTTATAAAATCATTTAACGTCATTATTTATCAACCGTAAACAAAAAAGATATTTAAAAAATTATATTTTTTAAATACTTATTATAAATTTGTGATTAACCATAACAGTTCTTAAAGAAAATTAAAAATTTGATATTTTAAGCAAAGAGCCTCGGTATAAAATAACCATTTTTCATACATCGAATTTTGAAATTTTTTTATATCAAAGAGTCACATAAATGATGACTCAATAGTGCCTGGGAAATTTTAAATTGAGCATATGCTTCGTTTAGGATATTATATTAAATATAACTGGTTAAAGTAAACCATATATCCAATAAAAAAATATAGCGATATCACAATTAAACTCAATAATAATGAATAAAAAATGACTAAATAGTTCCTTTAATATTTTTGACTGCTGTTTATGTATCTAAAGTCAAACTGTAAAAATTCAAATTAGTGGATCTAATACAGTGGATAAAATTTGGCACTCGATATTTGCAAAAATTTAACAAATTCATTTGAAACTCGTTACTTATTATACTTGGGGGTTTTTGGGGTTGTTATTACGAATTTGATGACCGATTTCAAAAATTCAAATTGGATAATCCAATATTATAGACAAGTTTTATAAAAATTAAATATATTTACCAGAAACTTGTTACTTTGGAGTTATTAAGGTTACTAACTACAAAATTTAATGTCAAATTTAAAAAATTCAAAAGGACAAAACGAATACGGCGAAAAATTTTATTAGAATTCAAAGGATTCAATTGTTACTCATTACTGGGGGATTTTTGAGATCGCTAAACTGCAAAAATAGGTGTCTTATTTGATATCTTAAAATAAGATATAAGATGGAAAAATGGTATCTTACATTTCAAAATAAGATGTTTTCTAAAGTGTCTTACTCAAATCTAAGATGACTTTACAAATTTTTTAAAGTATCTTAAATTAAAATGTTTCGGAGGCAATAAGATATTTAGAGATAAGTTATTACTTGTGAATTTGTAAGATGCTAAAAAAATGTAAGTTACTAAAAAATAGGATATATAAAGTGTTTTACATATAAGCTCATAGTTAACCTCAAAATTTTTTTCCAAAATATATGCTGAAAATGTATACGAAGATACTTTTAACATCTTAAATTAAGATATTTCAAACAACTAAAAAGTGTCTATCAAAACATCTTAGAAATAACTATCAAAACATCTTATATTAAGATACTTGTGACCGATATATACTTTTCGACCGGATAGCTCGGTCGAATAAATGCTTTGCTCAGTGGACGCCGTAGGACCAAGGGTACTTGGTTCGAGCCCATTAGCCTGGGATTTTTCCAACGTGTGAGGTAATCTGAGCGGGAGGTTTGACGTCGAGGTATAATGATGTGCACCGTCGATTATTGTCCAGTACATACCATTAGAACTCGACTGTAGATAAACCGGTTGTACTCAGAAGAGATTTTATACAGTTTCCCTCTTCTCTGGCGAGAAAACCCATTAGACGGGTGGTCCAGGCAAATGCGAGTACTCCTAATTTCAAAGTCGTTCTGTCGAAACGCAAAAATAGTTGGTATATAAGATTGTGTGTCCTGACATTTGGAAAAGCCTCAAGTCATTTAAAAGGAAAAAAAAATTGCAGTGTAATTACAAATTTAATGTCAGAATTAAAAAATTCAAAATGTACGATTTAGAATGTTCAACAGCTGTCATAAAAATTTATAGACAAATGTAATAATTCAACCAATAAAGGCAATATATTTTAATTCAACCATTAAAGAAAATAGGTAGTAATCCAACGAATAACGGTAAATTGTTACAATTCAAACAATAAAAGCAAGCATTTGTGACATTCATTAAAATCTTACATGATATTGGCTCTGCCATTTTGAATTTCTAAAATTTGACATCTAATTCGTAATAAACAACCTCAAAAAAACCTCCGAGTAACGAATTTCAAATGAATTCTTTAAATTTTAGTAAATCTAGAATGCTTTAATAGATCCACTTTATTTTATTTATCATGTTGAACTTTTACAGTTTAATTTTAGATTCGTAATTAACAGCTGAAATTCTTGAAAGAAACATTTTTCCTTTTTTTAAACATTATTATTTGGGTATCCGGTCATTTTCCCGAATCTAGAAACCCGAAAGACAATATCCCGAAAATCAAATTTCCCGAAAATTTAAACTCCCGAATACCTTTCTCCCGAAGACTATTATCCCGAAGGTCTATAAACCCGAAAGAAATGTTATTAAAAAATCAATGAAATCTATTTATTATTAATTTATTAAAAGGGTAAACATACAAAAGTATAATATAAAATATAAAAATTATAAAATAATATAAAATAAAAAAAACATACAAAAGTATAATATAAAATATAAAAATTATAAAATAATATAAAATAAAAAAAACATACAAAAGTATAATATAAAATATAAAAATTATAAAATAATATAAAATAAAAAAAACATACAAAAGTATAGGGTCAGTCCATTATATTTCATCTGAAGCCGTTGCGGCCTATTTTTAAAAAAATCTCATAATTTGTAAAAATGATGTTTAATATCCATAAAATTCATTTTTGAGAATTATTTTATAAAATTTTTTATATTTAATTTAGAATTTTAATTTTTAAATTGAGTTGGACAGAAAAAAGGTTAGATTGACAGTTATGAAAATTTAATAAAAAAGCATGGAAATAATTTATATAACACAAATTTCAAAATTGATATTTGTTAAAAATGAGCTAATTTACTTGTATAAATAGATTATCATGTAAACATACCCAAAATAATAGATAAAAATTGATTTTAAAATTTACCTATGAAATGTCGAAAGTCACTACATTTTAATTAAATTTTTCTAAAAAGTGTTATAAATATTAAAAAATTTATTACTTCTTAATGTAAAGTATTTTCAATGTACTTTCATAATATGTGGTAACTTTTTAATTTTATAATATAGAAATATGAAATATTTTACCTTTAATATTGAGTGTTTCATGATTTTCATTGATTTCAATTACTTATTTCTTCTCAGGTGCAAGACTAAAAAATCCAATTTTTGTCTTAATATTTAAGTTTGAACTTCTTTTCCATTCTATTAAATTTTGGTGATGGAGAACGAGCTACTTTTCATTTTAAATTTAGTTTAAAAAATCTGCTGAAAAAAAGAATTTGTTGGTTAAAATGCAAGTAGATTTTTGCATGACTATTGAGATAGCCAACTTCACTGTTATAAAATTACCTGCATTTTAACCAACAAATTCTTTTTTTCAGCAGATTTTTTAAACTAAATTTAAAATGAAAAGTAGCTCGTTCTCTATCACCAAAATTTAATAGAATGGAAAAGAAGTTCAAACTTAAATATTAAGACAAAAATTGGATTTTTTAGTCTTGCACCTGAGAAGAAATAAGTAATTGAAATCAATGAAAATCATGAAACACTCAATATTAAAGGTAAAATATTTCATATTTCTATAGTATAAAATTAAAAAGTTAGCACATATTATGAAAGTACATTGAAAATACTTTACCTTAAGTAGTAATAAGTTTTTTAATATTTATACACTTTTTAGAAAAATTTAATTAAAATGTAGTGACTTTTGACATTTCATAGTTAAGTTATAAAATCAATTTTTATCTATTATTTTGAGTATGTTTACATAATAATCTATTTATACAAGTAAATTAGCTCATTTTTAACAAATATCAATCAAGAAATTTGTATTATATAAATTATTTCCATGCTTTTTTATTAAATTTTCATAACTGTCAATCTAACCTTTTTTCTGTGCAACTCAACTTAAAAATTAAAATTCTAAGTTAAATTCAAAAAATTTTATAAAATAATTCTCAAAAATGAATTTTATGGATATTAAACATCATTTTTACAAATTATGAGATTTTTTTAAAAATAGGCCGCAACAGCTTCAGGTGAAATATAATGGACTGACCCATAATATAAAATATAAAAATTATAAAATAATATAAAATAAAATAGCGAAAGATGTGAAATGAAACCAATAATTTAAACAGCAATGTAGTACGATAAAGTTTTTAAAAATTCTATCTCCTGATTATTGCGATGATATTCAGGGTATTTCAAAACAATCCCTCGTAGTCTTTTTTGTGTCGTAATCCACTTTTTCTTTGGCGCAGCTCTTACTGCTCTTCCCAAGCTAAGTTCAACAATTGTTATATCAATATCCGCTTGTTCCCTTTGGATTTCAGTTAATAAAGAGTATAGGTCAGGGTGATGTTTCCCAATCACTATGCAAAATCTATTGTGCCTACCTTCACTGTTGTTGTTGGTACGGTGACTCCCTTCCATCGTAGTTTTATGTTGATTCCAAGTATGAACTTGATAGCGAGGAGGAATGGCTCTTCTCCGCCCTCGTGCTGGTCTCCCGGTTATATAATTTTCGTTAAAATAATCAAGTACAGGAAGAAGTTCCTCAGGAGCTTTTTCTGCGAGAAGTTGGAAAACAGTTTTGACTCGATCGGGGGGCACGAAAGCGAGACCCAACATCATGTGGGTATAATTTTTAATTTCGCGATTGGTCGGGTGATTGTAAGCTGTTTGTAGACCTTCCGCTTGTACGCGACGATATACCGATTGCCCCAAATGGAAAAAGCAGCACAAGACCGTGGTATCGGGGAACACTTCGGCACATGAATTTAAAATCCCTTGCTCGAAATCTGTCATTATCTTCGCAGGAGATCCATCAATGTGGTATTCTTGAGCTGCGGTTTTTACGGCAGTCAAAACGGCACTATATTGTGCTGATTCTTTTGATGACAGCAATGCATAGACTAATGGTAAAGCAACATCGGTATTATACTCCTCGTCCTCAATATCTCCCACATTTTCTTTTACCATTCCAAGTATTGTGAAAACTTGTGTGAAGATGTTTGGCGAAACCTTGAAAGTTCCGTCCAGAAACCAAGTGGAACTTTGGAACAACAGTTCTAAATTTCGTCGCGTGCTAAAAACGAGGACCCTCGAATCACGATCTTCAGAGGATTCAATTGAATCATAAATTAAGAAAGTTTCACCCACTATTGTTTTTCGATATCGATCAGGAATTTCCTGCAATTGCTCTAATGTTGTCGGATTCGGAGGTAGATTTGCTTGCCGTCGTCGTCTCATTGCTTTCTTTATATTTTCCCTATCAGGCAGCTGACTGATGACCCCTTCTGACAGCTGCGGAAATTCGGAACGTAAAATTTGAGCAGGCGGCTGCTCCGGGTGATCTTCTGCTCTCCTTTTTAACCTACAATGTAATAAATAATGTAATAAATAATGAAATAAATAAATAAATAAATTTTACTTTCGTATAATTATAAACAAACTAACCTCGCCTTTACTACTTCGGCCTCACATTCCTCCCGATTCGGTGCGTGCTTATGATCCTTAGCATCCTTCAAAATCACGACACTTTCTCCAGGTTCACTGCTGGCGGTAATCATCCTACTAGTACATGTCTTTCCTCGCACCTTTACGCAATCCCAATATGTTTTACCTTTCAGACGTCTCGATCGCTGATATATGAATCCTCCCAGTATCAATTTTGTTCCCAAATTTATTGGAGTATCCATGTTTTTAATTGTAAATGAATATAAAAAATGAATTAAAAAATGAATATAAAAAATGAATTAAAAAATGAATATAAAAAATGTCACGTTACAATATTAATTGCGTTTAAAAACAATTAAACAGTTTCCATGGTAACATGCAATTTCTTTTATTTTTCGAAAATTATTTTATTAACAAGAAAAAAATACTTTTCGGGAAATTCGCGTTTAGGGAAAATAGTTTTCGGGAAATTTGCGTTTAGGGAAAATAGTTTTCGGAAATTCGGCTTCGGGATAATGGTCTTCGGGAAAAAGGTATTCGGGAGTTTATATTTTCGGGAAATTTGATTTTCGGGATATTGTCTTTCGGGTTTCTGGATTCGGGAAAATGACCGGGAATCCATTATTTGAGTTTAACTGTGAAATCGCTATATTTTTTAATAGATATCATTGTCAACTTTGACCCCCTATATTTCATAAATGGGGCATATGCTGACATTGAAATTTTGCAGAAATTATTAAATCATCATACACTCTCTAAATTTAAATTAGTAGAATTTTTACTAATTTAATCAGTTCTGATTAATTAATTAATTAACTCATTCATTAGTTAATTTTTACAAAATTACTGATTCAATTGATAAATATGCTGTTATGTACCAACATTACCTTTAAATTTAACTAATATTTTACTAATTGAATCTTAAATATAATGCAATGTTACATAACATCAAAACACAGAAAATGATTCTACATTATATTCTCAATGTAGTATTACTATGTTTGTTTTCTCACAGTAAATTGTAAAGTACAAGCAAACCTCTCTACGACGGAAACTCGCCAGGTAGAAGTAGAAGGAATTATATCAGTGAGAGTTGTAACTGTGTGACTGCCATAAAATTCAGGGCCGAAAAGTTCCAAATAGTAATTTTTATACAGATGATTTTTGATTTAAACTATTTAATTTACATTTAATTTATAATTTTTTTTTATTTTGTGATATTTTATATTACAAAAAAAAACATAAAAAATGAGTATAAATTATTTAAAATACAAATCTAAATAATTACAAATAAAAATCATGTGACATTATTTAAATTACTTATTTATTATTTGATGTATAATTTTTTGTTTATTTAATGATATATTTTATATATTATAAAAAATAAACATAAAAAATTATTAAATAAATGGAAAAATAAGTCAAAGTTATTTTTAAAAAAATAATTATATTAATTACATTTTCTTTTTTTTACTGTATCCAAAAGACAGTATTGGAAGCATATTTTTAAATAAAGTTATTAATAAATTATCATAATTTTTATTTCATATTTTAAGATCATCTGATTTAAAATGGTTGATACATCCCTGAACATTCACTCACTAATAGTATTTTAACGAACCTCTCTACGGCAGAATCGTCAAATTACTTTCCACCGTAGGGAGGTTTGCCTGTATTACCCAGCTAAAAATCCGTTTACAGGTTCCAATGCAGGATCCTTTAAGGATCTAATACAGGAAAAATAATGGGTCCTGAACAAGAACCCCTACAGGCTATTGGAACAAGGTTCCTGATGTATAGTTTCCTATATATACTCAATTAATATCCAACAGGGATCCTGTACAGGAACCTGTACAGGAATTTTTAGTTGATGGGTAAAAAGCGTTGCAGATTAAACTAACACCAAAAAAGATTAAAATAAAACATTTTGGTATTATTTTTGACTATGAATGAAATTTTACTATAAATCATAACCAAGTCAATGATTATTAACTAACTAATTTACTAAATACTAATTTGCTAACTAACTTACTTAGTTACTAACTAAATAAATTAATAACTAACTTACTAATTTACTAACTAACTAAATATTATCCTTGATGAAGCTTAATTCGTCTAATTATAACAAATCAATGACTTGTTGTTTAATTTTAAGTGAAATTTCATTCACAATAATCAGAAATAACACCAAAATAGATTATTTTAATCCTTTCTAATGTACATTTAATCCTAAATGGATTAAAACATTGAAGATTATTTTAACACTTCATAATTTACTGTGTTTTTTAATATTGAAAAATATAATATTACAGATTTCTCAAGCTCATTGATAAACAATCTAAGCAGCATTTGGGCTGAATTAAAACATTTTGATAGCCTTCTACAAATTTTAAATTGATCACAAAAATTATTTTATAAAATTAAACATTTTCATTTAAAAAACATGCAACCTCCAAGCGAGGTGAATATTTATGAAATATTAAAAAATGATATGTGTTTCAAAAAACCTATTCTCGAATTGTACGAAACATGGAAGGAAATCGATCTTCATTTTCCGATCGTTAGAGTGATGACTCCTGAAGAACGTATTGTTTTAAAAACAAAACAACTAGCAATGGGTTTTGCAGGTAAATTATATTTAAAGTTTAATTTCCTTCGAAACTATCTCTTATAAAGAGAAGAATAAAGTAAGACGCACACAAAATACATTAAAAAAAGTGTATATAAAAATTTCTTAATCATTAAAGTTTTATAGTTTATGCCCTACTAAACAAAAACATTCTCGACACTCGAGACGAGACGATAATATGTAATATTTTCGAAACACGAGACGAGACGATAAATTGCCCTATAATAACGAGACAAGACGAGATAGTTGAAATTATCGCCTCGTCTTGTATTCTGTATCGAAAAAAAACAGATACGTATTTTTTTATTTATGTTTAATTGTCCAAATTTTCGAGTTATGAATTTTCGAAAATTTAGACTTTTAATTGTAGACCTTTATTCAGTAGCTTATAAGTCCGAAAATATTAAGTTTAGTAAAAAGTTGTCAAAGAATGAAAGTTTTAGTTTTCTTTCGACTTTTAAGAAATGTAAACAAAAAATTTTTTTTTTAATTTTTTATTAAAAAAAAATTTTTTTTTATAAACAAATTAATTTTTTTTAATTTTGGGCCACATTTTTTTTTATTTTTTTTTTATTTTTTTGTACCTTATAATATAAAGAAGATTTTCCAAAAAGTCCCGAAATGGGCCTGATGTGTTAAATGAGTTTTAAAATATTTTCAAAAATCACTTGCAAGCATCACAGTGGGATTTTTTTACATTTAACTTTTTAAAACTGTTTACAGCGTAGACCCTTTTATTTAAAACAAAGAACACTCAAATATATTAAAAATTATACCGTTGAAAAAGGTGTTTTTTACGGTTCAGTATAGACGTCTCATTTTGAGAGGATAAAATATTTCGGGTTCATATTTGGAGAGGTGATAGAGGAAGACTCTCCGAGGAGCGGCCCTCTCCGTTTTTGCAATAATTTTGCGAGGAAATTATTTTATTAACTATTGAAAGTGGAGTAATTTGAGGTTAATACATTTCTCTCAGTTCAACTCGCGACCACTTCCGAGAATTGGCGCCACCTCCTTGACCACTGACACATAGATCCACTTGTCTGTGTGCTCGCCGCCATATTGTCTCTCACTTTCGCCCAAAATCCAACTTTTGTAATTTCGTTTTTTAATATTTATTTCAAAAATTACTTGCAAATTCCGAAAATATTCTTTATCATCAAGAATTCCCCTAATTATCATGATAAATCAGAACTAAATATCTCTAATTATTTAGGAGTGAGGCAACACGCGGGAAAACACTTTTTGGGCTCGATTCTTCCCGGATGCCCTTAAGCGGCTTCTATAATATCTAATCTAGATTACAAATCTGATGTTAAATTACGAAAATTCAAAGAGGTGGACTCAATAGGTGCGAATTCAACGAATTTAAAATAAACTCGTTTACCATAATGAATTATCAGTTTTGAATTTTCGAAATCTAACATCAGATTACTAATCAGCAATCTCAAAAACCCCCTTTGTAACAAATTTGTGACGAATTTGAACGAGTTTTAAAAACTTGTCCGCCATTTTGAAATTTGAAGAACTGCAATTGGTTCAAAATCAGCGACTTCAAAATTCCTTCATTAGTGATTTTAGTGACTTTAGCGCTTAACTAAATTTTTTATTTGAATTTTTTCTGCAAATGTTGAAGGGATACTAAAAATGAAAAAAGTAGTTTCGTTTCCTAAATCTAGTGTAAAATTGTCACTTTAAATCCAAATCAAGGTTCACAAGGTCTCAAAATTTTCGAAATGATATAGTATCTCCATAAAAAAATTAAAACCTAAACATTTTTTACTACTTGATATGGAAAAAATAGTAGAAGTTACTCAAGTGTCTAAAAATCATTAAAATTTTCATAAAATTTGATATTTAATCGACTATAACTGTCAATTTTTATTGAATATTATTTTATAACCTGTGGATCAAAACGTAATTTAATTACCTTTCCAATGTCACCTTACTTATTATATTTTGATAAGTTTATTTTCAAACAGATAAGTTTAAGTGACATCGGACCTCGAAAATGCAAAATTTACAGCTACAGCAAAACTACACTAGGGAAAACAAATAAAACTATGATTTTCATACTAAAGAAACACCTACTAATCGAAAAAAATATTTTATTGAAATGATAAAAAACAGTTTTTAATTCAAATATATTATTGTTGTTTTTTATCTATGCAAATTATTTTTTATTTATTAATAGTTATCCATTAGTACCTTCTACATACATAAAATAATATGGCTGTACCCTAAACCTTAATGAAATTTTAAGCAGTAGTCAAACCTTATTATGGAATCTTTATAGGATTTAATTGTATTTTATCCATTTTTTGAAGCTCAACCTAACATAACTCAGAAAATATTTAATTTTTGAGAAAATTTACAATTAACATTTTTTATTCAAACAGACATGAACTACACAAATGCGAAATTTAAAAAAGAATCAACAGATGCTTTTTCTGTATATTTTGTAAAAGTTCTTACTGGAACATT